TGATTACACTGTAAGTGATAATCCACCTTAACCAAAATCAAAGTAGACTATCACTCACCCACACCAGATGGAAAACTCTACAGACTGTCGGTTCACACCCCATCACAAGCCAGCAAAACACCCATGAAACAAAGAAAGGTCTGTCACAGCCAAAAAATACACTCCAGACACGCCGCTGGCACTAGAGGCACAGCCCCTCTCTGCCTACGGTTTACCGGGCAGTTCTATTTGACGATATATATATATTTGACGATATATATATATATATATATATATACGGTGAAACTCCGACGAAACAGTTTGTCACAGCCCCTCGTTTGTTGTCCTCTTCTCTCTCTCTGCCAACGGTTTACCGGGCAGTTCTGTTTGTGACGATATATATATCAATACAATTTATTATTGAATTTTATTAGAATTTGAAATAATGCATGTGGGTACTTGATGACAGAGAATATAAATTCGCATGAAACTGGGAAATGGGGAAAGAAGGGACACACAAGAAAGATATGGACCATCTGTCGCAGGGGAACAGTACATTTGACTAATGTGAGGGAAAGAGCTCTTTGCAGCGTCCACGTGGCCCCCCATTGTGAAACAATGGGCCCACCCCGTAAGTGAAGGCGGGCCTACATTTCCATTGAGGGCCGATGTTGGTGTTGCTAAACACTTGCTCAGCGCAAATTGGTTACAGAGGCCGCATTTCTACAGCGAATATAGCACAGAATCGTGATCATATTCATTGGAAATCGTGATCATATTCATTGGAAATGATCTCTCTCTCACTCACCCACCCCGTAAGTGAAGGCGGGCCTACATTTCCATTGAGGGCCGATGTTGGTGTCGCTAAACACTTGTATGCCAGCGGGTCGTGGTCGTTGCGAAGGGACATGTGTGTGTGGGAAAGACGAGGTCGAGTGTGTGTGTGTGTGTGTGTGTGTGTGTGTGTGTGTGTGTGTGAGAGAGAGAGAGAGAGAGAGAGAGAGAGAGAGAGAGAGAGAGAGAGAGAGGACATACCTGGTTGTGCCATGGAGGTCTGCATGGACAGCGACTTCACGTACAAGGGTCTGCTGCTGAAGTCTTCTGGTTGCACCATCGTTGTCTAGGCTAATGTAGGCGCTGTGCGATTGTAGTCTGGGCGCTGAGCGGCAATCAGGAGAAGAGACATTGGATACGTTGTTGATGTTGGCGAGATTGGGCTGACATTAATATCTGAGTTCATTGCTTTGGCCTCCTTTGGCCTCCTTTTGTTTAGGGTTTTGCTGCATTCTGGACCACACAATTGCTGCAATCTGGACCACACATTTGCTGCATTCGGCTTTCTGGACCACACA